AAAATTGTCGTTTATTCTATTATATTAAACAGAAAAGAAACTTCTGCTACCTTATATCCAATCTAGCATCTGCAGCTCCAAGCATACAAATAAATCGACTAGGACAATGTTGAGAACCAAACAAAGATGTTGCCCATCTCACTGCACAAAAACGCACTTCACTTTGCTCCTGATCAGCACCAAGAAAAATTGGCTTTTCATGATTAGGCAATTTAATGACCAAACCAGAATCAAGTGAGTGAATTCCTCAGTTCTAAAGTGAAGTGAAGACATGCAGGAAAATAATTTGTAGAAGTCCAGTACCGCTTGACAATTACTCAGCAGCAGAGTCTCCAAATTCATCAACACGGTGGAAGAAGCTTCCTAATGTTCATAAACTGGTATTAGAGGCATTAAATAAGATATGCTTAAGTTGTTCTACACCAGCAAAAAATAATAAGGTACAAATAAAAGGAAGCTTGAGAAAAGGACTACAAAATCCTTCTAGGGCTCAAGCAACTTAATCAAAATTGTTCCCAGGATAAGAAGCATATCCCTTGATGATTTTCTAGAGTACAATTAAGGAAAATGAGAAGGGAATGTTTCCTTGCAAATATGATGACAAAATTGTCTCTAAAATCAGTAAATTGAAGGATTTTTATATTTTCCTCCACCAGTCTTTTCATCCCCAAAACAGAATTAACCTTACATAGGGACAAGTTGCTGCATATCAGAGATTGCTAATGATTTAAATTCTGGGATTTGCGAAGATATACCATGTAGGCAGCTGCAAGTGAATTTGTTGCATCTTGAATGATAAAACGAACAGACTGAGCTTCCACTTCTAGTGCATCAAAAAGACGAATAGCCATGTCAATTTTGTCTCTGAGATTAGGAAAAACAGTGATTTGATTATTCAAATTTTAATCTGAAAAAGCAGTATGGAACCAGGAGAAACCACACCAGATTGATTAAACACCTGAAAAGTTGAGGCAAGCGCTGTGCCAGCAAGCCAATTGCTTGAAAACAAAATATTCTGG